TGTTTAATAATATTTATACATTTACAATGTGTTCATGGAATGAATGTTGAAAAAAAACATCCGACTTACATTTTTTATTATATGTGTTTTTAAAATAGAACTGAGAGAATAGAATATATAAAAATATCTACTTCTCATTTTCTCAATCGACATAATTTAAAGAAAATGTTGGGTGCGTAAAAAAAGGGTTTTCATTTTTGATAAATTTTTGTCGTTTTTGTGTTTATAATTTTTCTGATTTTCATTCTTTGATTTCATTTTATTTTCTGTTCCTGAAGCAATAACGTTTTTTAATCAAGGTAAAGATAAAATAAAATAAACTGGATCCCAAAGTTTAATGTATTAAAGGGACAGACCGGCTATGTAAGGTAATTAAACAAAGTATGCAGTGCTGTGGACAAATTCTTTAGAATTCATTTGAAACATATAAAACTTTTCCACGATGTATAATTACTGAATTTGACGACGTTTAAAATCATGAATTTGGGTGGGTACGTTTTCAGAATCTTTTTTTTAATTATTAAAACTATACAGTAAAAATAAAGTAAAAACTATACAGTAAACGAATTCGATGGTTAGGAACATATTTCTCAAAAGAAATTTGTCAATCAATCAATCAATGCTAGAATCAATTATTTCGTTATATTGAATTTCTTATTTTCTATGAATTTATTCGCAGATTTCTAAAAATTCTTCAAATGTCCACCCAAAAGTACGATTTTGAACCTAGACTTTGCGCTCAAACTTAGGATTTACAGATCTTTAAAAAGTTTTGTATGTCTCAAATGAATCCTAAAGAATTTGTCCACAACACTGCATACTCAGTTAAACTACTTTACATAGCCGGTCTGTCCCGTTAAAGTGAAACGGAACGTGTGAAGGAGAAAATCAAATTTATCTGAAATTACTTGTATCCAACTTTTTGACCTCGCAGCTCCTGTGCTTTTATTGGTTACATGGTATAAATTCAAAACATTTGTATTCTCCTCAATAGTTTTTCGTCTGTTATGATTAATAAAAGATTTCAATCTCACGTAAATCTTACTCGATCTAATTTGAAATATTCATCATTTTTCAATATTTGCTCAATTATCATTATATAAAATGTTTTTAATATTATCTTTTTTACGACAACGAATAATGACTTTCATCCAAACAAAACAACCAAATTTTGCATCAGACTAAAAATCGTTGACAAATATTTTTGAAATCCTTCTCTCTAGAAAGCATGTTTTTTTTAAAGATGTTTAAAACTCTAAAAAGTTTAATTCAAAGAAAAAAAGTTTTAAGGATTTCTTAGTTTGACGCATCAATCTTTAGTATTGTCTAAACCCAAGATACCATGTTACACATGCTAGTTGGTTTAACACAGCTAGAGCTTTAACTAAACATACAGCGATCTCCAGAATAAAGTGGAAATGTAATACGACAATCTTTAAGCCAAAATATTGTAATATATTCAAAGTATTTCAATTTGATCTTATTGGAAAGGAAATTTAGAATGAAACAAGTTTGCAGTTACAAGTAATCATAAATTAAGTAAAAAGACAATATAAATCATAGATTAAGTAAAAAGACAATATAAAATCATAAATTAAGTAAAAAGACAATATAAAATCATAAATTAAGTAAAAAGACAATATAAAAATAAGAATGAGGGTAAGCAATGCATGAAGTTATTAAGGGTGTAAATCTCAAGAAAATCTAGGAATTGATCCAAATAACAAATATTTCAACAAGTGTTCTTGCAATATTATTATTTAGTGTCAGATTACTTCATAGCTTGCAGTACGATTCTTAATTCAGGATAAACTTGCAGTACAATTCCTTTAGTTCTAATTAACCTTGTAGTACAATTCCTTAAGTTCTGATCAACTTTGCAGTACAATTTCTTTAGTTCGAATCTATGAAAGAAAGTCCGTGGAAAAAAAGTTTCAGGAAAAAAAACCTGGAAATAAAAACTCTGGAAAAAAGTCCGAATATTCTTAAGTCCTTGGCGGTTACCGTTCTGAGCAACCTTGCAGTACAATTCCTTAAGTTCTGATCAACCTCAAAGTACAATTATTAAATTTCAGTTAAACTTTTTATTATAATTCCCTGGATTTCATTGATTCTGAATACTTTTGAACGCGGGCATGTTTATTGCTGAACCAAATTACCGAGTTGCTGGCACATTTGATATATTTCTGTCTACAGTCCACTCCAATTATGTTTAAGATTGGAATTGGAAAACCGGGGAAAACAAAACAAATATTTTAAATAAAAGATGCATTTGGGGAATGGAACCAGGTTTTGTGCAATCAATCGGGTTTCTACAAATATATCACCGAAACAAACCAAAAGAATTTTCACAATTCCTATCAAATTATTCTTATGATACCATTGTCCTAACTAATATATATATATATATTTGGCTTGCATGAATGGGCCCAAAGGAATTAAGGCTTTGCCACAAACTCTGATATTTAAATTCTTACATACTTGCAACCTTAAATATTTCAAGCTAAGAATTCTGTTAGATCAAATAATTCAAGTTTGACATTTCAAAAGTTTTCGCCATTAGGTTCCAAAGATATAGAGATTAGAAGATCAGCGTTTGTTGCAAAGGCTCAATTTTTCATGTTTTAATCATGCATGACCCCAGAGAAGAGAACGGCTAAACCGAACAGTTGATATTATGATTAAAATCTTTAAAACTGAATTGATCAATTAACCGCTGATAATAATCCAAATTATAAATTTTATTTCATGAGATATTAGAGATAATTAATTATCTCTAAACTAATCTAACATTCTTAATTAAAATTTATGTATGAGAACTAACATTTTCAGAAGAAATACTGAATTAGAATTCTAAGACATATCACTAAACTGCAGGACAGGGGAAGCTTACGATATTTTCCAGAGAGAGGGGGGGGGAGGGATTTTGGTAATTTTTATGTGAAACCCCTGACATCAAAATCCATTCTTTAAAATCAAAGTGTATCTCTCAAGCCTCTTTTTTTGCAGGAAATTCTAAAAATGATATATAATTCGATTTTGTTCTACTTTTTGTTAAAAACTAACATTTAATACTTGAATTATTTTTTATTTTGTTTTTATTATATATTTTTGCTACCATTAAACAGTAAAAATTAAAAAGAAGAACTATGGTTAAAAGGAAATATTTAACGAGTAGCAGAGTTTTTCTTTTAAAGACTTATCCTATAGAGATAAACTTTCTGCAGTGTATTTTGTAAACCGGGTGTACTACTGTGCCCCCCCCAGTGCCCCTTCCCCCAGGCCTTCTCTTCCACTTTTCTTCAATTTTCACTTCACTCATTACTATAATACCTTCAAAACCTTCAATACCTTTAATACCTTCTCCTTTAAACAATCCTTTTAATACACTCTCTCGCTTCCATTTCCTTTAACTAAAGAGACTGGAGACGTCATTTCAAAGTTTCCTTTAATTAAAGGGACTGTAGACTTCATTTCAAAGTTTCCTTTAACTAAAGGGACTGTAGACTTCATTTCAAAGTTTCCTTTAATTAAAGGGACTGAAGACGTCATTTCAAAGTTTCCTTTAACTAAAGGGACTGGAGACGTCATTTCAAAGTTTCCTGTAATTAAAGAGACTGTAGACATCATTTCAAAGTTTCCTTTGATTAAAGGGACTGTAGACGTCATTTCAAGGTTTCCTTTAATTAATAAAGTTTATTTGAAAAACGTAAAATTCTAACAATATCCTTAATTGTCTCTGCTGCTTAAGTGTCACTTTAACAGAGACGCTACAATTTAAAATAAATAATTTTCAGCTGGAAAATATCATTCATCCTTCACAGGACAATGGTTTAAAGGGTGTCATTGTGAATCAGATATTCTAATGTTAAAATAGAGGATTGCTTAAAGTTGAAATTATGTTTCAAGTATCTTTAATTGTTTTTTATGTTTTTTTTTTTTTGTTTCTTTGAAAGGGTTTCTTATGTCAAGTTATCAGTTATATATAGTAGAAAAGTGAATGGGATTTAATATAATATTGTAATATGTACTGCAAGCGCAACTATTGTACATAAGGAGAAATGGCCTGAGATCACCAGAAAATTTGAATATCTAGCGTAAAAATTGCACCAAGCTTACTTTTTCCGCGTTATATAAATATACCAGACAGAATGGAATCTAACATGGCAGAGGAATTAATTAACTGTCTGCTGTTGGTTTCCATTCGTTATTCTTACATATACAAATACACCTCATGTTCTCCTTTTTACAAAGGATATATTAAACTCATTGAAGATACATTTAAGGGATTGTACGCGTAAATTTAAGGGACTCTGTTTGCAAAGAATTTACGATGCAATGTTGTTTCTTACAAAAGTGACTTGCGCAATTTTACTCCAGGAAAGCATATAGGAGTTGTTTCTTACAAAAGTGACTTGCGCAATTTTACTCCAGGAAAGCATATAGGAATTAAACACTGTTGAACCTAGAAAAACGACAATATCTTCCACGTTATTGATCAGATAAGGTGAACCATGCATGTTAGCTTTGCATGAAGAGTTACTTGAAATTACGCTTACAGTCCCTGTAAAATTCGTATCCGTTTCAAAATCTAAAAACATTTTTATTTCGTGTCATTTCTCAACACATTCTCAGGATCTTAGAATTTTAACTTTTTTCCATTTCAATATCAGATCTTACACACTGCATCCGAGAAAGCAAGATGAAAAGATTTCCTTTTTCTTGTGCAAAAACTACAGTTCTGCTAATTTTAACGAATCTATATGTTTTGCATATTGCAACAAATTGATGGCGGAACCGCAAATATAGATTTTAAGATAATTTTTTGCAATCAAGAAAGCAGGGAAGCATTTTTTCTGCAAAGTTGTGTAAAAACAGCAATTCGCACAAATCTGAGGGTGCAAAGATGTTTTACGTCAATTTACAAATATTTGTAATAACATATATAAATATATAATAACATATATGAAAGCATAAATATTATTCATCAATTTTTTCAGCTGAATTCGGAGAAGAAAATTAACTGGAAGAAGGCTATTTTTTAAAATTTCAACCTTCCCTGTAGTCATGTAAGTTGCCGTTTTAAGATTTATTTTGGTACAAGTAGACAGACAGACAGACAAGCAAAGTATAATATAGATGTTGCTAAATATAGTCTGGATTCATAAAGAAAAATAAATCTGCTGAATTAAAAGCAAAAAAATGTATTTTTTTTTTTTTAAACTGACAACCCTAACTTTACAAATATCTTGTTTACGTGCATTTGTAGTGTGCACTGTATGGTGTAAACTGCGGGCTAAATACGTTAATTATGTTTACATGCATGTGCTTGTGTAGTGTGCAGTGTATAGGTTAATAATGTTTACATGCACGTGCTTGTGTAGTTTGCAGTGTATAGGTTAATAATGTTTACATGCATGTGCTTGTGTAGTGTGCAGTTTATAGGTTAATTATGTTTACGTGCATGTGATTGTGTAATGTGCAGTGCATAGGTTATCATGTTTACATGCATGTGCTTGTGTAGTGTGCAGTGTATAGGTTAATTACATTCATGTGCTTGTGTAGTGTATAGGTTAATTATGTTTACATGCATGTGCTTGTGTAGTGTGCAGTGTATAGATTAATTACATGAATGTGCTTGTGTAGTGTGCAGTGTATAGATCAATTACATGAATGTGCTTGTGTAGTGTGCAGTGTATAGGTTAATTACATGTATTTGCAATTACAGTGTGCAGTGTTCACTCTAATTTTGTTTACATGCATGTGCTTGTGTAGTGTGCAGTGTATAGGCTAATTATGTCTACATGCATGTACAGTGTGCAGTGTTCACTCTAATTATGTTTACGTGTTTACTGAATTTGGACAGTTTAATTGAGATATTGCATCCAGGGGCCTAGACTATAATTACACAATCTATACCTTAGATTAATAACAATACTGAAGGGATGCAATTGCTACTTGATAAAAAAAAACTTGTCAGGGTGTATTCAATAAACGTCAAGACGGCCAAACTTTTTGTTGAAGGTTTATGGGCAAGTAGAAATGGAGGATTTTACCTTACAAAAGTTCGATTTTTTTTAGAAATACTTTATATATATATATATATAGAGTATGCAGAGAATTAGTACTCAAACAGAATTTCCTTTTGTGAGAAAATAAAAAGTACAATCCTTACAATTTGTTAATTTCCTTAATTTACGTCTATCTAACTGTCTATCTGTCTAAACATATGGATGCTGCTTGACTGTTTATTGATCTATAAGTCATAAACTGAACCGATCGCCCCCCCCCCCACTTTTTATGGGACCAGCACATATATAATGTTTTTCTCCAAATAATTTTGATCATAATTTCGTTTCGTAAATCCATCAATAAAAATGGAAAAATCTGCGCAATCTTTAAGTTATATTATGATGTTCCATGAATACACACCTAGTATAGTGAAGTATCTAGGTGCGTTTTTTCATCATACTGGACCTAAAGTTTGAAAATATGAACCCTATGTATGTGTTCACCTGCAACCAAGAAGTTGGGCAATCATAATATAATATTCCAAAATATTTTAACAGTACTGGAAATTTTGCTTAAATTCTGAAAGTGTCCGCAACATATCTATATTCTTCGTTTTTGGGACACCCTGTATATTTGTTTATTAGGATAGCTTTAGTAATTTGATTATATTTTATATTAGTAGTATTTAATATGATTATCTATATTCTTCGTTTTTGGGACACCCTGTATATTTGTTTATTAGGATAGCTTTAGTTGAAACTTTTTTTTCAACATTTATTCAATAATTTATTTTTCAATTCCCCACTACCCTACTTCCTTTACTACAATATATGGTTCACAAACCAACCATACTATCACATTAACTGATCCAAGACTCCAATAAGCCGGATAGGAATTTACCAAACCTGAAAATCGAAGATTTCAGTGATGAATCCACAGGGAGGGGGGTGGGGTGGGGTGGTGAAGTATTCAGCCCCCTCTCCAACTATTCCTTGAGTTGTATAAAATCATTTAAGGGAGGCAAACTTCAAACTGTACGCTAGATAACAGGTTTTGTACATAATACATTTTACTGTACATGATAGGTTGTCGCCAATAAACGTGGAAATCTATTAAAATAAAATTGTATATTCCCAAACTAGTTTGAAAGTGTTGTCTGTCTGAATATATTAATTGACTAACACATACAGAAGACGATGTCTCAATTTAAATTCCATGTTTATTAGGACACTCTCTACTGTTTACTCAAGGTTATAATGCAAGGAAAGTTATTTCAGAGGTGTGCGCATTTTTTGTACTGCAGTTTACTGTCTTTGGGCGGAAAAGTAAACACAAGACGTATGTCACAGCCTGACATGGAATCCATTTTCACAAAAATAATCTATGAAATATTCTGGTCATAGGAAACTATTATGTATGTGAATTATCAAAATTATCAAAATTTAATGCTTTTATCCTCCTCGGATACTAGTAGAACACTGATGCATCTATTTTGTTTACAAATTCCGCCCAGAGAGAACTGGTTATAATATGTACGCAGAGTGTATGCGCGACCGCAATTAACTTTCCTTGCATTAGTACCTTGTGTTTACTCATCTTTGTGCGCACATTTTTTTTCAGGAGAAGCACAATACTTTCCTTTATCCTATAAACTCAACTTTTAAAAATCTGCAAAGCACCAAAGTAGAAATTTCAAGATATTTTTCCACAATTTCTGACTCTTAAAATAATCTGTTCCGGTTAGTGTTCTCCCTTTGAAAAAAATTGTTATTCTACATGTATAACCCCTTTAGGTTGAGACAATTTGACCAAGGGAAAAGTAGAAATATTTCATTTTCAATTGAACAATAATCATCGAGTATTTACGAAACTTTGGCAGAGAAAGATATTAAATTTATTTTATCAATAAAAGTTGCCGGGATCATTAAGGAGCATAATATCCTAACGTAGTTGTAAATTGGAGTAAAAGGTCAGTGATCATTTTCAGAAGGTTTAATGTAGCTGTCATAAGAATTTAAAGTGAGTGTTCGCGAAAAATTAAAGGGGGTATAGGCTTACGGCGAAAAATAAGCGCTTTTGAGCGCTACTAATCTTATCAATCTTACTTCTATCTGTTGCGTCTATAAGGATAAACTTGTTAAAAAAAGACTTATACTGAAGAACGTAGCGTCCATACAAATTTAGAAATTTGCAATATACGACTCGTATCGTAAAGTAATAAATTTAATTTCAAACGAATCATTCAGATATTACAACCTAAAGTCATCGATTATTTTTCGACGCATTCGTATATAGTTAATATTTCATAACATTTGTTATTTGTTTTATATAACGACTTTTTTCCGTGTAATTATTCAAAGCATTAAGAGCAGAGACATCTGGCAGCCAACTATTTCAGCATTTTAAGTGCATTGTATACAAAACGAATAAAAAATATTATAAAATATTAACTATTTATGAATGCGTCGAAAAATAATCGATGATTATTGGTTGTAATATCTGAATGGTTTGTTTGGAATTAAATGGATTATTTTACGATCCGAGTTGAATGTTGTAACTTTCCGTAGTTGTATGGACGCTACGTTCTTCAGTTTAAGTCGTTTTTAACAATTTTTTCCTTAGAGACGCAACAGATAGAAGTAAGATTAGTAGCGATCAAAAGCATTTATTTTTAGCGAACACTCCCTTTAATATATTTTGCTTTCTTGAAATTTAAGAACACTCCCTTCATATACTGAAAAGGTTAGAAAAGGGAAGGTGACATTACTAAATAACAGTTTAGAATATAAAATGAGAAGGTCCGAATTTTGAGGGAAATTGATATAAATATTGCTTTGAACCTCTTCACATTTACGAGTGTAGGCTTTCTTTCTGTGCATATAGACATGGTGAGCTTCAGAATATAATCATTACTCAAATAATTTAAATATCATGCAAGTAAATCAGAATATTTTTTTTTAATTTGGACATGTAGACATATCGGTCTGTTGCATCATTGGGGTAGAATCATCAGTGAAATAAATTGATATTGGCAGAACTTACTGAGTCATTAGTTAGCATGCACTATTGGTTAGTTACTAACTAAGTTAAAGACCAAAAAAATTATAAAGGCTACCATGCAATGTACACTACATAGCACACCATGTAATTTACAAAGCAAACCATGTAATTTACATAGCACACCATATAATTTACAAATCACACCATATAATTTACATAGCACACCATGTAATTTACAAAGCACACGATGTAATTTACATAGTACACCATATAATTTACAAAGCACACGATGGTATTTTCATAGCACACCATATAATTTACAAATCACACCATGTAATTTACATAGCACACCATATAATTTACAAAGCACACCATGTAATTTACATAGCACACTATGTAATGTATAAGCCGTGGCCATAAAGTATATCATGTTATAAAGTAGACGTTGCATGTCGAATATAAAGATTTTTATACTTTTCTGCAACGTTTTTGATTGATATATATCATAGAAATTCATCTGCTTCATTGAACTATAAAAAGTATTAATTTTCAAACAGATTCAGTTTCTTCAAATCCCCCTATATACCTCCGGACATACAGGTCCTCAACATTACCGACCTATGATGCATAACAGAGGGACGTTAAGTTAATTTACGTCCATAGGGACAATTAAGTAAAATAACAACGCGCTCTGCGAAGTTTTTGTGAAAAAATCCATTTTCATCTCGAATGATGATTAAACTGTGTGCAACTACTTTTTGGGGAAATTAAAAATTTTACTCAACCACGGGTCCTCGACAAACTTTGCCTACAAAACATCCGGAGCGCAGCGCAGCGAATTGGGCTTGGGAACCCTTGGTAAAGAAAAATCCTCTTATTTTCCCTGTAGAATAGTTGTAAATAATTATTATCGGGAGGATTCGGGATATTTTGGGGTGGATATTTTTTAACACCTTTGCGTCCAGAAGTCAGAACTTTTATGTTGAAAATCTTGGGATTAAGCTTTGATCTTCATCTTAAGGGACTGTAAGCGTAATTTCATGTGATCCTCCATGCAAGTATGTCAATGCCCGATTCACAACGGTACCTTTGGAACCCTTATCTGATGAATAATCAATAATTTGATCAAGATATTGTCGTTTTTCTAGGTTTAAAACCGTTTTATTCTGATTACTTTAATTGATAGATTGAGTATTTATAATCAAATTTAAAAGTGCCCGCATTGGATATCGAGATCAACCTCTTCTCCTTAATTTTATTACTCTTCCCCACTGTAATTTTATTAGAATAATATTAATTGTTTCTCTTTTCTTTTTGTATCATTATTATTCGTATCATTATTACTTCTCAATAAATATTTAAGTAAGTAAACATTTGCCAGAACAATATCATTTTAACTCTAACAAGGGGACAAGTTCTTCAAAATAACATGACGCCTTCTTCACCAAGGATGTTATAATTATTTTCAACTATTTTACAGATAAGTTAAGGGAATTTTACGTTTACCATGGGTTCCCTCGCTACGCTCTTGATGTTTTGTAGGCAAAGTTGATCAAGGGAACCCATGGTAAAGTAAAAGGAATTGAGTCTTTGCCACAAACTCTGCTTTTCTAAACCCTATATCTTTGGATTTCAATGTCGTAGACATTAGATATTTCAAACTATGAATTATGTTAGATCAAATAATCTTAGTTTGAAATATCAAAGATTTGCGACATTGGGTTCCAAAGATATAGGGATTATAAATTCAGAGTTTGTGGCAAAGACTAAATTCCTTTGAAATTTCCTTAAAAAGCACATCGTTGTTGTACACCCTTATATCCAATTTTTTTCAATATGTACGCAGAGTATACGCAACAGCAATTAACTTTTCTTGCATTAGTACCTTGGTCCAGCTGCACCTTATTCTGTTGCATAAATGCGTTAGGTCAACTAGTACACTAGACGGGCTGGTACTTTAAAGAATAGACCGGCATCCTTGTACTGGTTTGGATCATGCAAATTTTTAAACTTACGTGCACAAAAATGAGGGACAAAATATTTCTGGTTACATAAAAAAATTAAAATTTTTTTATTCTTCTCAATAGCTACTTAAAAGGAGGATTTACTAAGCAAATTATGGTTTACTTTATTTTTATATTTTCATGCATCTGTGTGGTTACATGTATGTCTAAAAGTTTGAAATCTAAACCCAAATCTCTACCCGACAAACATGGACATGAGGTGCGATTAAATCTGTCCAAACCTTTATTTTATAGACGACTTCTAGTTTATCCTCATCCTTCCCAATCTCTAAATATGGTATTTATATTAGTGTGTGCAGTCTGATATTTGAAAAAGTTATGATGGGTCTTTGTTCAATATTCATAGTTTACCCAGACTTAAATTCAGTACATCTGTTCAAAAGGTACTCAGTAGAAAGGAGAAAATATTTATGAAAAAATTTATAATATAAAATTCAATCTATCCTAACTCAGAACTTTTAAATCGAGCACAGAATATTTCGCGGTCCTAAAAATAACCGAGTTTATATTCGCCATCTTTCTCAATCTCTAAACATGGGATTTTAAATAGCGCGTGCAGTCTGATATTTGAAAAAGTTATGATGAGTCTATTTATATTATTTTACACGTAAATTCAGCACATCTCTTTCAAAGGTTCTCAGTGGAAAGCAGGAATTCGAATAAAAATATGTTTAGAATTTATTTATTTATTTTATTTGCTTGGGAACCCAATAAAAGTCAATCTAACTCAGAACTTTAAAATTGAGCTAAGAATATTTCCCTGGTGCAATATAATTAAGTCCCTCATCAAAATTTGAGGCAAATCGGTCAAGGGGCTCATGAGTTATGATATGATATATAGTTTGAGTGGTCGGTGGTCTGACCCCCCCCCCTCTCTCCTTGTTTAGCAATAGTACAGCATATTTCTATATATCTATCTATCTATTCTACATGCAACAAATGGAGTGCACTGTCATTCCTGAGTTTTAACATGGTTCCATATTTAAATGAAGATTTAATTATTCAATTAAGGTTTCTTCTAACTTGGGACAATGCGAGTAAATTTAGTGCTGTGTTATACATACCTATCTATCAATCTATCCTTTCTATCCTTCTTTCTATCTATCTATCTATCTATCAATTTGCACCCAAGATAATGAAACCTTTCATTATGCATCTAAAGTTTAGATTGCAGTTTTCGACAATATTTTTTATTAATAATTTTATCGATAAAATTCTTGTAGCCGAAGATTTTTTATTGCTTGAATGAAAGCTAGGAATGGGTTAACTTCAGTTTTTCAATAAATCAACGTTATCAAATCTAAGATAAATTAGAGAAGTTTGATTTGATTCAGATACGTAAACAGTTCAAATTTTCAAAAATGAAAAAACAACACCAAAACTGTATCAATATATATAAAACCAAAACCCCTTAACCAATTTTCTTCATATTTTGATTAGGGAAATTAAATAAGAAAAATTGAAAATTTAAATGTTTTTACTAAAAGTGTTAAAAATGCTCTCATCACGCACCCCTGACCCTTTAGTAAAAGTAAATTCAACCTAAAGTCTGACCGCGTCAACCTTGTTGCACCGGCTAGACCTATTGAGTGTCTGCTTTATTTACCCAATGTCCGGGCGATACAGTACAAAGTGGGACCTGAAAGGTTGACCCGGCTCGGAAATTCAAATGTACTACGACCGCCCGATGTCATGTTCGTCTATTTGGATTATGAGCATGGTCTCCAATTGTATTTGTAATATTTGAATGAGTAATTTTAAATTTAAATGAATTATTTACGATCTGGGTGGAAATTTGTATGGGTCCTATACGGTCTTCGGTGTGTGTCGCTTTTAACCATTTTCTCTTTTTAGACGCAACAGAAGTAAAATTAGTATGAATCGATATCGAATTCATTTCGATGTCGACTTATACCCCTTTTATATTTTGCGAACACTCCCTTTAATAAGTATTTTTTGTATAATGTCTAAGTATTTCTAATGGTGTATGTCTAATATCCAAGACAAGCCTAATGTTTTTGTGCGTCCAATATCTATTTATGTCTAACACCTGGTATATGGAATGTCTATGTATAATGTATAATGTCTATGTTTGTCTAATGTTTATGTCTGTTTATGTCTACAATCTACATATTGTTTATGTCTATGTCTGTATAATGTCCATGTTTGTCTAATGTTTGTGTCTGTTTATGTCTACAATCTACATATTGTTTATGTCTATGTCTGTATAATGTCTATGTTTGTCTAATGTTTATGTCTGTTTATGTCTACAATCTACATATTGTTTATGTCTATGTCTGTGTATTTGTCTGATATATGCAGATCAACTTGGCAAATCTTGGATCAGGGTTGCTTTATTCCAATTTTCTGGAACCTTCAACAAATTTTGTGACGTCATTCAGTTTTCTCTTAATTCTTTTTCCATATTTTTTTCCTCTACCCCCCCCCCCCCTCTCCTATGGGGAGGAAACAGAAAGGCAGGATATAATTTTAATTAAATTAAATCAGACTGAATTTAAAAGTTTATCTTTTCCTCCTAACATTAATCCTATCAAAAAGATATTTCGGAATTCAAATCTGCTCTTTTCATATTACATAAAAACCTCCTTTAAATGCAAAAGTATTTTTAACATTTTTAACAAATCCTATTTTGAAATTTTCCACATTTTAAATGAATTTACGTTACGAAGCTAGATCACAAAAGAGCATTTTGATGCATTTTTAAATTAGATTTTCTAAAAGCCATGGCACTGATCACATTACTCAAAGATTTTTATCCTAAAGGAGAGACGGGACATAATATGTGACCTGAACTAGAAGGTCTGATTCACTACGGTACCTGAACTAGAAGGTCTGATTCACTACGGTACCTGAACTAGAAGGTCTGATTCACTACGGTACCTGAACTAGAAGGTCTGATTCACTACGGTACCTGAACTAGAAAGGTCTGATTCACTACGGTACCTGAACTAGAAGGTCTGATTCACTACGGTACCTGAACTAGAAGATCTGATTCACTAGGGTACTCTTTAACCCTGTATCTGCAATAATCAATTAGAAATATGTCGTCGTTGATCTCAGATCCATCCTGAAAATTATCAAGTTCTGTCGATTCCCTTCGTTCATTTTTTTCCATTGGAAAATTGCGAGTTACTTTAATATAGAAACCAGAATTGAAAATGATCAATTTCAGCAAGAAAAAAAACTTATTTCTCCGTCATTTATGATCCATTTAAGTTTTAAGAACAACAAATAGACGCAAAACATGATTTCAAACGGTGTAATCTGTAATAACTAATCAACTAAAATTACCCAAAACATTAATATTAAAAAATGAGTTGAATATGCATTTTTTTCCTATCTTTTAATCAAAACTGTTTTGATTTAGACTTACCACATAAAACCACTGAAAAATAGTTTTAGACAAAAATTTAGTTGAAATAACATGTTATGTATATGTTAAACTAGCCGGAGTACCCAGGTCCAGGTTTGAAAACACATTAAAAAAAGTTTTAACCTTTTTAACCAATACCCATGAATTCCCTAAAAACTTTCCGCCAATTTGATTCAACCGTTTAGGGCCAGATATAACAAACATAAATATACATGAGCAAAGAGCTTTATTATGTAGTTTAGTCTAAAATATAAGCTTTTGTCTAATTTGATATCTTTATGAATATAGAAGCGGAGCAGCAGGGTTTACAGGATAATATTCAATTCAGAGAAACATTGTCAAAATAATAAAATAAATTTCTGCAAAAGTTTGTATAATTCTGAGGGAAAAACAGGATATATAAATATTAAATATAATATTCTATTTCTCTAAATATTTTCAGAGTAAGAATTGCATACCTGTTCTAGTGGAAAATACAGGACACTTTGGAGAATACAGGAAACTGTCAAAATAGAGGAAACTGTTTCTAGTGGAGAATACAGAAAACTGTGAAGAATACATAAAAAATTGTAAAGAACACCAAAAACTGTAAGAATACAGGAAACTGTGAAGAATACAGGAAACTGTAAAGAACACATGACACTGTGAAGAATACAGGAACTGTAAAGAATACAGGAAACTGTAAAGAATACAATACAGAAAACTGTAGAGAATACAGAAAACTGTAAAGAATACAGAAAACTGTAAATAATACAGAAAACTGCAAAGAATATAGAAAACTGTGAAGATTACAGAAAACTGTTCAGGATACAGGTAACTGTCAAGAATACAGAGAACTGTAAAGAATGCAGAAAACTGTAAAGAATTCAGGAAACTGTAAAAAATACAGGAAACTGTGAAGAATACAGGAAACTCTGGAGAATACATGAAATTTTTTGAGAGTAGAGAAAACTGTGAAGAATACAGGAAATTGTGATAAACACAGGATACTGTGAAGAACACAGGAAACTGTGAAGAATACAGGAAACTGTGAAGAATACAGGAAACTGTGAAGAATACAGGAAACTGTGAAGAATACAGGAAACTGTGAAGAATACAGGAAACTTTGAACAATACAGGAAACTGTGAAGAATACAGGAAACTGTGAACAATACAGCAAACTGTTAACAATACAGGAAACTGTGTAAAATAAAAAAAACTGTGAAAAATAATACTGTAAAGAATACAGGAAACTGTGAAGAATGCAGGAAACTGTAAAGAATACAGGAAACTGTAAAGAATACAGGAAACTTTGAAAAATACTAAAAAAATGTGAAAAAAAGGAAAATTATGAAAAATATGTCAAAAAAACTTCAAAAAATCAAATAATGAAAAACAGAAAGTGTTAAAAAAAGAGAAACACTTTCAACACAATTATATAAAAGTGAAAACCTTTCATAAAAAAAACAAATGCATCAGAACTAAACTAAACTGCAATCAAAGGTTTCTCAGAACTGGATAAAGTTTAATTCTTTTTAAAGAAAACATTTTAGTTTTCAAGAAAGCGATTGTCTGAAAGAAACGTCTTTTTAGAGAAGATGAATCAAACTAAGATTACCGCTTTCGGCGGCGCTGTTCATGATGATTCCGAACTCCAGGATGGAAATGAAACCATGTCCATAGAAGAGTTTCTAAACACAGTTCTAGGTAAGCTTCTACAAATTCAAATTATAATTTTTTTCCTTGGGGGGGGGGTCGTCCATACGAGATCGGGATATCAGTTGGTCTGCTAATATTTATTCCTCAAAAAGTATTAGACAGAGACCTTTCAGTTTGCCAGCTAATACCCCTCACACTAAACTAAACCACTAAAAGGAATTGGGTCTTTGTCACAAACTAGGATTTTCTAATACCTATATCTTTGCATACCAACTTCGTAGACGTTAGATATTTCAAACTATGAATTCTGTTATATAAAATAGCCTAAGTTTGAAATATCAAGGGTTTCCACCATCAGGTTGCCAAGATATAAGGATTAGAAAATTCGAGTTTGTGTCAAAAACTCGTTATATTTAATCCACAAAGACACTTCCTGCATGACTACAATTTTTCTTACTGAACGAAATATCTTTTTAGAACCAGATCTGGATATTAGATTTAATAAATGCAACGTAAAGTAAAAATATTTTTATTTCAATTTTTTTCAAGTTATGTTCAGATGACCTCCCGAGATAGGATATTAACTAGACATATTTATTATATGAACAAGCTACAACTTAAATTACAATAGGCCTCAACTTTTGCTACAATTGACTAGTTATGTTCAGTTTAATGTCTCCAGATAGAATATTAACTGAATACTAATAATACTAATAAGATACTAACTAGATATGTTTAGGCCCGAGACAGCTTGAAGGACCTCTATTGATCCCTGTAACAGTGTTCTATGTTCTAGTATTTCTGACTGGTCTTGTGGGCAATCTTTCGGTAGGTTTAAACTTTTAAGTTTTATTAAAGAGACCGTTCACTTGTTTGGGTAATTTCAGGGTAAACTAAACAGCCTATTCGCTCTTGATTGGTAATAGTCTTACTTTTCAAAGACATCTGTGGCCGGAGAAAAAGCCGAATTTTCGTTCAGAATTCGAGCGCAAAGGGACGGTCCCTCTCAATAGACACTAATTGATGTTATTTTCAGTATGTTGTGAATCAAAATAAATTTCGAATATAAAATTAAACTGTAGTATCTAATCGTTAATTGTAAATGTCATTATTTTTGAATTTTTGTTGTTTTTTAACTTTCTATTTATAAAATAACACTATTTTATCGCATTCAAAATTGTGTATTGCCTGTGTAAAAAGCTAAATTGAACGCGGCATGACAAATGAAAAGTTGTGCACATACGCGAACAAAATCTACAAAATCTACGAACCAAAATACGAGTAATGATTAATTGATTGTCGTAGAGACGTCGTCTTTGTATACATATTTTAGTACATAATAACGAGCACATAATGACATTAAAATATAATAAATTTAAATGTTATTGGGCTGTTCTTACTGAAAAAAACATCAAATAGTGTCTATAGAGAGGGACCGTCCCTTTCCGCTCAAATTCTGAACGAAAAATCGGCTTTTTCTCCGGCCACAGATGTCTTTGAAAAGTAAGACTATTACCAATCAAGAGCGAATAGGCAGTTCAGTTTACCCTGAAATTACCAAAATAAGTGAACGGTCCCTTTAAAAGTTGGACTCATAAAACTGTTGAATAGTACGTTTGCTGAACTTGATTTTAAATAGTTTGATGAACAAGACAACAATTGTGCATTGTGTAGTGTACACAGACCAATCAAACTTAATGAGTTTAATTTTTACCTATTGTATATTGTATATTGTATATTGTATATTGGTAAAACTGTTTGCTTTAGTACATCAAATACACACGGGCTTAACGTCGTCTTCCTATTTTACGGTTTTATGGTTCCTGCAGTTCCTATATTTATGGTTCTAGTTTAAAAAATCGTGATTCTAATTATTAATTTTATGGTCCTTTGTAGTTCTTATATTTATTGCTCTAGTTCTTATATTTATGGCTCTACTCACAAAGGATGAAACTTCAGAGACGATTGTCCGGAATTTTTTTTAGCCTGTCTTCTTGAATTCAGGGTTCCTTGTTCGCCAAAACGGGGTTATTTCTGTGCTTAACAATTTCATAAACCATTTAATCACAACAAAAATCAAGCCTGAAATCGTCATAATTTGTTTAGTTTTGGGTCGTCTTTACAGTCTCATTCTTTGTGGGTAACCCTGTAGCGAACTTGATTTTAGCAATACTTTTATTGAAAAAATAATCCCAAAAATTCCCTAATCCTGCCATTTCCAAAATGTTTTCTGCCATTTTTTGGCTTACAAAATAACAGATATTAGAAGAATTTTGTTAAAATTTCAATCAACTAAATAAAATAATGAAAATGTCTGATTCTGAACGAAAACATTGATAATGGCAGACTACATTTAGGAAAGGGCAGGACAAGGGTTATTCCGTGATTATTGTTCTATAAAAAAATATTCCTAAAATCAGGTTACCAAGGTAGAATGCCGGCCTCAAACTATTTCAAAGTCAAAGACGACTTTGAAGTCAGCAATAAATTTACATCATTCCGGGTTATTTAGACTATCATCGAAGTTCTTCTATCTATTGTTCTAGTTCTTTAAGTGTGGAAAACACATATTTGGACAAATGCAACTTAGGACTTTGCTCTCTGATATTTTGGAGAAAAGATACGTCACAGCTCCTCACATATTTTATACTTTTACTTTTATCTATTTCCAGTCGCTTTCACTTTCATCTACTTCCGGTCGCTTTCACTTTCATCTACTTCCGGTCATTTTCACTTTCATATACTTCCGGTCGCTTTCACTTGTTTCAACTTCTGCGCCTACTCTTATTGAAATTCTGCTTTCACTTCAACGAAAATATAAACTTACACTTACACTTCTTCTTCTCTTATCCCACAACTCCTATTTCCACTCTTCCTTTACTGATACTTTATCTTCTCTTATCCCACAACTCCTACTTCCACTCTTCCTTTACTAATACTTCAATCTTCTCTTATCCCAATACTCCTACTTCCACTCTTCCTTTACTAATACTTCACCTACTTCCACTCTTCCTTTACTAATACTTCAATCTTCTCTTATCCCAATACTCCTACTTCCACTCTTCCTTTACTAATACTTCAATCTTCTCTTATCCCAATACTCCTACTTCCACTCTTCCTTTACTAATACTTCATCTTCTCTTATCCCAATACTCCTACTTCCACTATTCCTTTACTCATACTTCATCCTCTCTTATCCCAATACTCCTACTTCCACTCTTCCTTTACTAATACTTCATCTTCTCTTACCCCATTACTCCTACTTCCACTATTCCTTTACCAATACTTTTTCTTCTCTTATCATACTACTCCTACTTCCATTATTCCTTTACTAATACTTCATCTTCTCTTATCCCATTACTCCTACTTCCACTATTCCTTTACAAATACTTCATCTTCTCTTATCCCATTACTCCTACTCCTACTTCCTTTTTTGCCATTGCACTTTGTACTGTGAGCACTAGTCTGAATTTTTGACTTAAAATCTTAGGAACGTTAGGATATAATCGCTATTAAACTTAGGATATAATCGCTATTAAAGTTAGGATATAATCGTTATTAAAGTTAGTATATAATCGCTATTAAAGTTAGGATTTAATCGCTATTAAGGTTAGGATATAATCGCTTTTAAACTTAGGATATAATCGCTATTAAAATTAGGATATAATCGCTATTAAAGTTAGGACATAATCGCTATTAAAGTTAGGATATAATCGCTATTAAAGTTTCAAAAAAAATGTTCTTGATTTTATCTTGTCATATATATTCATGTAATAATTGTTAAGGAAGAAATCCGTTGAAATTTTGGAAAAATTTGAATTTGACTCATTTATTGTCGAAACCCCTCAAAAAACGTACTTTTCAAAAACTACACATTACACAAGCTAGACGGGTTTTCTAATCTAAATCCTTCATTTGATATTTTTTTTCAAAAATTTAAAAAGATTTTAATTTTTTAATCAAAAACAAAGAAATTGATATGCAACATGATGATTTTATGAAAATAAATATTTTTTCCTTCTTGAGCAGTTTTTAAAAACTTTATCGGCAATTATTCTGTATTTTGTAAAAGCTTTGAACCTAAAATGTTCAGGAATTATACTCTCAGAATGTAATGAACGGAAAAATTTACAGCGCTCATAGCGTGCACCATTTTTAGAATTTAACTAATCTTTGTATCGAAAAAAACCATAGATAAATAAACATAGATAGCTTATGTACGCAAAATCATCAAGAATTGTACAGTCCGCGAACTCATACTTCTAGGGGTCAAAGTGTACTTCAATGATAAGCGGGGTGGTTTGGTGTTTTAGTGGATTTCATAATAGAGTGTAAAATAACTCCGGGAATGGAACTATTTGAACAACAATATTTCACTGAGCAATATATCATATTGACGAGAACTGTAGAAGGACATGAGAAGGACTAAACTAACTTAAATTGATCTCTACAGAACTCATGTACACCAGAAGTACTTAATGACATGAGAACAACCAATGTTTACAACCGACCTAGTTAATCTATATAATAGGAATATCTTAAAAACATCCCTTTACATTTATATCTTCCAAGATGAAAAATGTCGTCTTATGCGCAATCTATCTTTATCTATGAAAAAAACCCGTGAGAGCTAATCATAAAGTTAAATTGTCCCATATTTGTCTTTTTACTGTTTTTTTTTTCTTCTTTTGTTTATACAGGTGTTCAATTGACAACACATTATGTCAAAAACATTAAAGTAAAAAATAATTTAAAAAGTTTAGAAATTGTCTCCTTAGCTGAATTGTAGTAAAAATAAATTAAATAATTTGAGATGACATTTTGCATTTTAAATTGCAAAAAAAGCTTTAATCAAATATATGTTCATATGTTCAAATATTAATAATCAATTTGTTATGATATTCTTCAATTAAATATCCTTGGACTTATTCAAAAAGATGCAAAGTTTTGTAAAATTTTGCATAATTTTGCATTTGACTTTGAATGTGCAATATTATTAATCGTTATAGTTTATCTTTTTTAAAGCGAATTAAAGTCAACTCTTTTATAAAAAAATAAAGCTGAGAATCTTTTAGTTTTTGTCTTGGTTATTACAAATTTATCTCTATTCAGAGGTGAGAACTATTGTATGGAGTAACCTTAATCTTGAACGTCTGATCTCGATATACAATATGGACACTTTTAAATTTGAGGATGAATGCTTGATCCATGCTTGATCCCTTAATGAAAGGCTTTGCTACAGGGTATATGAAAGAGGAAGAAAATATAAGATGGAGACCAATGCTTGATCCCTTAATGAAAGGGTTTGCTACAGGGTATATCAAAGAGGAAGAAAATATAAGATGGAGACCAATGCTTGATCCCTTAATGAAAGGCTTTGCTACAGGGTATATGAAAGAGGAAGAAAATATAAGATGGAGACCAATGCTTGATCCCTTAATGAAAGGTTTTGCTACAGGGTATATGAAAGAGGAAGAAAATATAAGATTGAGACCAATGCTTGATCCCTTAATGAAAGGGTTTGCTACAGGGTATATCAAAGAGGAAGAAAATATAAGATGGAGACCAATGCTTGATCCCTTAATGAAAGGTTTTGCTACAGGGTATATGAAAGAGGAAGAAAATATAAGATTGAGACCAATGCTTGATCCCTTAATGAAAGGGTTTGCTACAGGGTATATCAAAGAGGAACAAAATATAAGATGGAGACCAATGCTTGATCCCTTAATGAAAGGTTTTGCTACAGGGTATATCAAAGAGGAAGAAAATATAAGATGGAGACCAATGCTTGATCCCCAGATACACAGCACCAAAAATCTGACTTCAGAGCGGAACTTTTCCATGAATATTTTTAATCTTGAACGCTTAATCTTGATATTTAATGTGAGCATTTTTGATTTTGAGGATCAATTAAGCATTGAAATTATTCCAGCAGGGTATGACACTCACGAGATAAGATGAAGATAAGTCCTTCTTGATCACAACAATACAAAAGTTCTGGGCACATTTTTTGAGATGTAGTTTCTGAATACAAAGCTATTTTTCTATAAGTCACAGACTAAAGAAAGACGATTTTCATTCCACTTTTACTTGTTATACAATGTTCATGTTTAAGGATTAGACATTTTTTAGCTTAAAGAGAATCTTCAATTCTTACATTCAGAAACGTTTAAAAAACATCTGATTTTGTTTTACACTCTTAAGGCACAAAGGAATTGAGTCTTTGCGACAAATCCAAATTTTCTAATACCTATATCTCTAAAACCAGACGGCGTAAACCTTTGATATTTCAAACTTTGATTCTTTAATCCATCAGAATTCATAGTTTGAAATATCTAGGGTCTACATTATTGGGTTGTAGAGATAAAGGGATTAAAAAATAAGAGTTTGTGGCAATGACTCAATTCCTTTACGTCTTCAGAGTTTTAAATGAACACTGATGGAACTTTTGTCTGAACTGTTAAAAATGTTATATTTATCCTGCTCATTATATTTACTGTTTACTATAGTTCCTGTATTCCTGTTTACTATAGGTATGTTTGGTGATAGCTCGGAATAGGAGTTTACACAACGCTATGAACTATTATCTCATCTCCCTAGCAGTAGCTGACCTCACAATACTTATACTAGGTAGGTGGTGGGGTAGCAGAAGGATAAGAAAGTTAAGGATGGAAAGGATATGGATGAAAAGGACAAGGATGGAAAGGAGAAGGACGAGAAAGTTAAGGATGGAAAGGATAAGGATTGGAAGGATAATGATGGAAAGTATAATGATGGAAAGGATAAGGATGAGAAAGTTAAGAATGGAAAAGAGAAGGATGGATAGGATAAGGATGGAAAGGATAAGGATTGGAAGGATAATTATGGAAAGGATAAGGATGAGAAGGATAAGGATGGGAAGGATAAGGATGAGAAGGATAAGGATGAGAAGGATAAGGATGGAAAGTATAAGGATGGAAAGGATAAGGATGAGAAGGATAAGGATGAGAAGGATAAGGATGGGAAGGATAATGATGGAAAGGATAAGGATGGAAAGTATATGGATGGAAAGTATAAGGATGGAAAGGAGAAGGATGGAAAGGAGAAGGATGGGAAGGATAAGGATGAGAAGGATAAGGATGGAAAGGAGAAGGATGGAGAGGATAAGAATTGAAAAGAAATATTGGAAAGCACAATTCTAACACACAAACTAGACATTGAGAGTAAACTAGTAATTATCTACTGCACGCTGTGCGAAGTGTATACTTTTGCTTTCTCTTTCCAAATTTCATTAAAATAAAGAAATCTACTTTAAAATAGCTTTACACTTGCTAATTCTGTAATTAATTTGAGAATCTTAAAAAGCATGCACATAAGTTACCGGGCGATGAAACATGCATTCTCAGCTAGATAAAATATTAGAAGCTACACTACGTCTCTCTGAACCGAGAAAAAAAAAAAAAAAATTCTAAAACATAATTTCGGATTTTACCTAAACTTTTATTCAATCCTTTTTCTCTTAATAAAAAATCAATATGAATAAGAAACGAATCCATTTCCATAATAGTATAAAACAATAACAGTTTATTTTTATTAAATGTTTAAATGCAATTATGTTTTCTTTCGAGATAATACATCTACATAAATCTATTTTTTTCCGAAACAATGTGGAAAGAATCATAATCTACACCAAATTTGATTCAGAATAATTTGATAATCCTGAGATGGAATTTAAAGAATTTGAGCTGCGGTTTAAATCTGCCAAAACCCGGTTTAAATTAAGCGCTGGCTTAAATCTTGAAACATTTGATACAATTTTAAGTGGAACCAACCATATTTAAGCCGCGGCTTAAATTTAAACCGCCGCTCAAATTCTTTAAATTCGGCCATTGATCATTTTTTACGAGTATAATTAAGGGCTGCACTTTAAATGATTATTCTTAAAAAAATGAAATTTACAAAGAAATCACAAGAAATTTTCTGAAGGGTTTATATTTATTTTTGAATTTTTATGATTAATTTTTAGAAGTTTGGCCACATTGGCGATAATCCTCTGCACTGCATTAATTAATTTGCATGAATTGAATAACTTTTAATTAATTCATTTACTTTCTTTGCACCTGAAGTAAAGTTTACGTTTTAATTCTGAGAATTTTGTTAATTTAGTTTCAGCTCTTCCTTTGTTTGAAATGATATTAATACATCTGTATGCATGTATAATGTATATATAGGGTGTCCAACGAAACTCAACACCAGTAAGATAACTTGAAGGTCGTCTTTAATCGTTAAATTAAGATGCGGCATTTATTCGTAATCTATTTTTAGAAGTATAATTCTAGATTTAATAGTCCCTAGATAACCCTAGTCCTGGCATTTAAAAAATGTAGTCTGCCTTTTGCTGCTACTGTTATTGTTTACTGTATGCAGGTAGGTGTAAAGAATCTGCAAAGGTGGAGTAGGTTTATGAACGTTTGCCGCAAATAATTTCAAAGATCTAAGACGACCTTAAAGTCATTTTTCTACTGCCAAGTTTGGCGGGACACTCTGTTTATATAACTTTGCATTTTGCACAACAGGCGTCGCTAATCTTTATTTTGCTTTGTTTTGAAATATTATTAAATTTTATACTATTAATTTTGAAACCTTATTTTCTACGTGTAAGATTTCTTTTTATACTATATCTGAAAGTCAGCATTATTTTTCTTCACTTTAGATTTTTCAAAACCTACTATTGACTTGACTTGCGCATTTCTTGCTTGTCAGAAAAAATTTGAGAAACGACGGTATCTTCCACATTTTTGATCAGCTTTAGGTTTTTGGCCATTTTACTGAGAGGGTCAATTTTTCTTAATCCGTTATCATCAGTTAATTGACCGAGATAAAATGTTCTATGGCTTCTGATAGGTCTTTGTATATATCCAGTATTTTTTAGAAAAATACGTATTGGTTAAATAATTTTGATATTTTGTAATTTTTTTAATTTACTTGGAAACTGCTCAACTTTCTCTTTATTGTAGTTTTTTATCTAGATTCATTTTCTTCCTCTACTTAGGCTTAACTCTTGTTCGTTTTATTGTAACTTAATATATTTTTTCTTAGCATGAGATAAAACAGAGAAAACATATTTTTTTTAAAAATAATTAAAGCACTGCACAGTTCTATGAACAAGTTGAGATCAAAATAACACGAAAGGTTGAAAATATTTTTCCAGAATACAATTGACGAAACGTAGTATTTAAATTTAAAATTCAGTGATGGTGATGGACCAAACCTCTGTAGAGTAAAAAAGTAGATGTTAGTTCCACATTTATTGAAAATATATTTCGGTCTGGGTTGATCCTCGTCAGTTCTAATGATATAATAACCATCAAATCGATAAAAAAATAAAAAAAATGTAAAAATCACAAGAAGATAAACAAACAAAAAGATTATTCAAAATTATTTAAACAAATTCTGCGTAGTATTTAAACAAATTCTGCGTAGTATTTACTAAACTAGATTCTACGTAGTATTTACTAAACTAGATTCTACGCAGTTTTAGCAAGTTTACAAAGATTCTGAACTAATTATAATGTAAGGCGGAAGTGAGGGGGGGGGGGATTGGAAGACCCTCCTTCAACAAGTGCTGAGCCTTCTCCCCCGGAAAGACCCCCCCCCCTTGACAAATTCCATTGTATGTACTGTGTACTGCGTTTTCACAAAACGGACTTTTCTGCATATTGAATATAGCCAGGGTTGTTTTTTATATCAACTCCCTTTTTTTCCATGGTTGTAAACATATTTTGTTTCCATGCATTTTCCACTGTGTAAGGGCTTTTTTCGAGACTTTTTGTTTAAAATCAAACTGGAACCGGAAAAAAAGTCCTGGAAAATAAAGTTTTAGAATTGTATGACTTTATTTCCAGACACTTTTTATTTCAAGGACTTTTTTTCGCAGGACTTTTTAGTTCCGAAAACTTTTTACAAAGAACTTTTTTGGCGGTTAGCAAGGGGGCAAAACCGTACCCTGTAGGAAAATGTAAAGAATGTTGAAAGATGAAATATTTTTTAAATTTGAAATTGATTAATCCCCGCAGACTGCGGTAATTTGACATTTTTTCAACTGATCAAAATTCGAATTTTATAATGTTTTCAAGATTAATAGTTTTTTAAAAAATTATATTTTAGACAAAGTTGACGAACAAGGTTTTAATAGATTTTTTACTTGAACGGCAAAATAAAATCCAGGAACTGATAATTCATCTTAGAATTTTATTTTTTAATCTTGATATAAATTTGCCACCTTGTGTCCTAAACCTAGAGATTTGAAACTATGAATTCCATGCAAGATCAAGCAGTTAAAGTATGAATAAGTAAAGGTTTACACCATCAGGTTGCAAAGTAAAGGGCATAGAAAATTTGAGTCGAGTAATAAGCTGCAAGTATTCGATAACCTTGATTTTCAGAAATTTTAGTTTCAGGTTTGTAACGTTTATTTTGATGTTTTTGTAAAATATGAAGCCATTTATATTCTTTATGCAATTTATCCATACATTTAACCCAGCTCCCTGGGGTGCTTTACAAATAGAAACTGTTTCAAAATATGATTTATTTGTTGTTATTTATTTAAATCATTATTTCTTGTTTTTTATTTAAATCAATATTTGTTTTTTTTATATAAATCAATATTTGTTTTTTTTTATTTAAATCAAAGGACTATCTTTATTTAATTTTTAGTTGTCTTAATGCATGAAATATCGAAAATTAGCTAAGACGATGATTATAAATTTCCATGTATAAAAGAACAAAAAATAGTTAAGAAAATGATAATAGATTTCTATTATATGTTTGAAAGAACCAAAATTAGCTAAGAAAATGATTATGAATTTCTATAATATGTTTGAAAGAACAAAATTAGCTAAGAAAATGATTTTGGATTTTTATTATATGTTTGAAAGAACAAAATATATTCTAAACTTCAGGTTCTATTTATTTAAAATATTTTCGAAAACACTTTTCTGTGAATGCATTCAAAGGCTTCAACATAATTGAGAGAGCTAGTTGAAATAAATGCAAATTCTAAAGATTTTAAAATACTTTTTTAAAACTTGTTCAACGTTTTTTAACTGAGCATACAACCACAATAGCGAGAATCTTGCAAATTCATAAAATCTGAATTAAAATTTTTTTAAATAAAGTTCTATTTCAAATAATTTGCATTATGCTATTTCTATGTCAACGAGAGAGCTGTTAGACTTGATTTAAACTCCAATATTTAATATTTTTAGGTTTACCGAATGAACTGAGCATCTATTGGCATCAGTATCCTTTCCCGTTTGGAGAACTGTTCTGTAAACTCCGCAGTTTCATCTCAGAGACGTAAGTCTTTAAAAATTTTTTAATCCTCTAAATAAGTTAAGCTTTTAGGACCAGTTCCAAATAATAATGCTCTTTGCTCATATATATCTATATATAAATTTGTCTTGTCTTGGTGTTTGTCTGTTATTATGTTTGTTTGTTTGTTTGTTTGTTTGTTTGTATCCAATAAATACACAAAGAGAACATGTTCACAATTAATTTAGAAGATGGGCGTGAAGCGCCCTCTTAGGCTAGTATATATATATGTGATAGCTATAGCAGGCCAAACGACTGGACCAAATTGGCTGAATTTTGGTGGTAACTTAGGCTGAAAAAAAATCCACGGACAAAGCCGGGCACTTGAGCTAGTTTTTAACCAGAGGAGAAAATTAACTTATCCTTCTTGATCAGACAAAGCTCTTAAGGGTACTCTTGTGAATCTAACATGCCAATTAATGGAGGGTCACTAATTATTATGCTTACAGTCCCTTTAAACAAAGGGATTATACGATGTCCAATTTTACACAAAATTTTTTTCCGGCGAAAATTTTAATTACCGGAAAAGATGAACCGGAAAACGGAATTCCGGTAATTTTCCGTTGAGGAAAATTTCCGCCGGAAGCCGGAAATTCGACCTGAAAAAAAAATGCGGCGAAATTTTCTTGTGTTTACCCTATAATCTCGTCACTAAAATATTTCGTGTATATCCTTGTCTTTTCAAAGTGAATTTTCAAATTCTATTTTTAATAATCCATAAAAAATTAAACAAGTCAAAAATAGAAATAATGCACTTTTTCCAACCTGTTGGGTTTGTAATTCGATTGGAAAAGATAAAATTGAGAAGCAGTGTATTTATTGGGATAAAATTAAATAAAAATTAGACGGTGAACCTTTTAGAATATCTAGGGTCATCTTTCAAAGCGTTGTAACCCTTAAAAGTATATAAATGTTTAAAACAAACACTAAACACTCAAAAACAGGTTTTGAATGTTACATAATATTTTCCAACCGGTTTTGTGGCTTGTTTCCGTTCAATCATATAATCCATAACCTTCAAATTTCCGGAGCGATATTAGATTCTCTGCTTCAGTGTGTTTAGTTCAGAACAGTCAAAGTTTAGAAACTTGAAACCCCTAGATATAAGGAAATGTTTGGGTGAGCTCTCCATACATACTACAAAGTAGCTGTATTTAAGTTTTAATCTTATCTGTACTGATATCTTCATAGTTTTCCTCTTTACCCAGCTAACCAACATACGGTGGTTTACATGGTGGTTTAATAACAACCTTTCAACAATCTTTCAATTAGAAATTTTACCTTTACACAAAATTTACCATTAGAAGCTCAATCAGGTCTCCTCCCTTCCAGAGATTAAAAACGGGAAATTATTGAGGCTTTAGCACATACCTTGATTTTTAATCCCTATATCTTTGCAACCCAACGTTGTACACCTTAAATATTTCAAACTATAAATTCTGTCTCAGTAAAATAATTTAAGTTTGAAATATCAAAGATCTGCACCATCAAGTTCCGAAGAAACAGGGATAAGAAAATATGAGTTTGTGGCAAAGACTGAATTTCCTTCAAGTGCACAAACAGGGGCAACTGGTTAGACGTCGTGATTTTTATTTTAAGAAGATTCAAAGTTTTAATATTTAATTCTAAAATTAAAATAAAAATTTTCTTTTGAGACAGAACTTTATACTGTTGTGCAAAAATAAATCTTCTGATTCTATTTCTAAACAAATTATGTAAAGGATGTCATTCTGATTTTAGGGGCTATTCCCTTTCTTTATAGACAACTTAATAATTTAACTCAGCGTGTATTATTTTCACTAAATCCAACTTTAAAGATTTAATTAAGAGGGGATATTTTTATCTTCTATGCCAAGTCCATTAGCGCCTGATCCAATCAGAGTTCAGTCATGTGTTTGTTGTCTATTCTGAACCAAAAGAAATAGTATGGCGGTAACATCTATCTTTCTATCTATCTCATTATCCAATTACATTTATGAATCCTTCAATGGGCGTGATCAGTAAATGGAAATATTTACTTCTACTAAAACTATAGTGCTACTGTATTCAAGCAAATCTATTCATTTCTCATTATGCTTCCATCTAATTTTCATTAAAGAAGTATGAAAAAACCAATTCAGCTACAGTCAGACTAAAACAAGATTTGTAAAGATATTATACGTAATACATAATTTTCCTATTTGTATGTTGAGGTAAAAACAAATTGTGTTTATATGAAACAAAGGTTTTTATTGAATTGGTTTATTGTATAAAGTGGATGATATCGGAGGGTTCAAGTTTCCACATGATTTAAAAACTTATAATATAAGTGAGGCCCATAAACCCCTTTAAATTCATCTCACGCAACAATATTTTATTTTTATGAATTTTCTATAAATTGATATGAACAAATTTATGTTTTAGATCGTCATACGCGAGTGTACTCACCATCATGGCGTTCTCCCTTGAGCGTTATATTGCCATCTGTCGGCCACTTCAGGCTCTACCCTGGTCCGACTGTACACGTGTGTCTGGTGTATCTAGTCTCTGCTGGTTTCTAGCTATGCTCTTCTCCTTACCCCATCTTCTCTTCACAAAGGAAACTCATATTATATTTAAGGCAGAAGCCCAATGGAGTTATGCGCGCATGCCGCCTTGAAAAACAAAAAAAGAAAGAACGCCTATTCTATCTGAGGCGCTCGGCCCCCTCGCCTGTCCTGCCACAGCACTCGGCCCCCTAGCCGTAATGCTCGGCCCTTAAAGTGTATTATCATAAAATAATTATAAAATAGAATTCCTTCAGGCAACTGCCTATATTTAAAACTGTAAACTCTTTCTAATAAAAAGATAAATTATTCATAACACACAATTGATATATTTGTTTTTGAACGTTAAAATCTATCAAAAGTTAAAGATCAAATCTAATCAATTTTTTTGGGGATAGAAGTTATTGATTAATTTTCACCTTGTGTCAAAGTATACAAAGAGAGGAACTGGAACAATGTTAATTTTAGATTTTCTTTGATGATAAAACTATCTCTAGCCTTTAATCCTGTAAATGGATAAAGAAAGAGGGATTAAAAATCTTGATGTGAAATTCTGCCAAATATGACATTTGAATTCTTTATGTCTGTTTCGTATTTCTGTAAAATTGATAAAAGTGTTATTAAAATAATTTGTTATGAGTGTAGTTAAACTATGTTGATTATCCCTGGCAGAGTGGACATATGCTTCCAGAATCTGCTTTCTGTGCTCTTCTCGACGACAATATTTATCCACAGGTACAGCTGCGACTTCAAAATCGTCTTTGCTTTCCGATTGTTGATAAATATACGTAAAAGGTATATAGGTAAGTTTGTAGGTCGCGATGGAACTTCTCTAGATCGACGGGAATATTAAATATTTGATTTATTTTGATTCAATCAAGATTGGATTCTGGACGAATTTTGAATATTTCCGGCAATGTTATACTGGAAAGCTAAACCACATTTTTGAATTCCCAAATATGTAATTTTGGGCGGTGATTGTCTTGTATGGAATGCTACTATAATGAATCGGTAATTTAGGCTGTACATGATATCTGTAATCTAGCGGTACCCTGTACATAATATCTGTATTTTAGTGGTACCCTGTACATGAGATATCGTTCCTTCTATTCTTCCTTGTCCCTGTAATCCTACTCAGCTTCCTTTACACCTCTATGGCCTGTGTTGTCAGAAAATCTGCTAGGAATCATACTCAGTTTATTTCTCTAATCAAATAATGAAGAAAAAAAATAATATTTTCAACATTTTTAAAGAGAGTGGACGGCTAGACAAAGTAGTTGAGCTGAGAGTGCAGTATTTTAGAGAGAGAAAAACGTCATTATGGTATTAATTTAATCCCTTCTCTAAACTCAGCTCAACTACTATGTCTAGCCACCCACTTCCTGTTGAAAATATGATTTTTTTCTTCAATGACTCTTTAATAAAAGGAGTTTTGAATGGAAAAAATTTCAACATTACTTGCAGATTACTTTAGTTTGACGTTTATGATAAAAATAACTAATATCATTAAAAAGTTATGAAGCTATAATAAAAATTTGAAATAGAAAGAAGAATTGTTCGAGGACTTTTGTTGCAGTTTTAAATCCTAATTGGTCCATTAGGTTTTCAATTATAGATAGGTTTAAGTTCTCCTTTGAGAGCTAGGCTAGAATAGAAAATACGAGAAATTACTCATTCTTTATTTTTAGTCTTCATCTTCATTCTTATTTTAATTAAAAAACGTCTACAATCTGCAAAAATGTAAAAATTCAAATTTTAAAATTATTCACATTTCATATTGAACCCGGGAATTAAATATATATTTCTCAAAGGTTTTACTCAAAAATACAAATATTTATAATATAAGGTTGAAATATCAGGTTGCAAAGATATATGGATTATGAAATTAAAGTTTGTAGCAAGTGGTTAGCTTGTTTGTAGCAAGTGGTCAGCTTGTTAGTTTGTAGCAAGTGGTCAGCTTGTTAGTTTGTAGCAAGTGGTCAGCTTGTTTGTAGCAAGTGGTCAGCTTGTTAGTTTGTAGTAGCAAGTGGTCAGCTTGTTTGTAGCAAGTGGTCAGCTTGTTTGTAGAAAGTGGTCAGCTTGTTTGTAGCAAGTGGTCAGCTTGTTTTTCAATTTATGAAAATTCGTTTCTAAGATTATTTTGCAGGATTGTTTCCAGGCTCCTAAATTAGAGCTTTGTGTTGCATGGTTCCAGTAAAATGGTTCGAGTAAAATGGTTCCAGTAAAATGGTTCCAGTAAAATGGTTCCAGTAAAATGGTTCCAGTAAAATGGTTTCAGTTAAATGGTTCCAGTAAAATGGTTCCAGTAAAATGGTTCCAGTAAAATGGTTCCAGTAAAAAACAAATTCTCAGTTTAATCAATATAAAACAAACCATGAGTATCTAAATATTTAGATTTGCATATATTATAAACGGATATTTGCAAAAGATTTGCGAACGTTAGATTTATATTTTTGCTTGAATATAGTTTACAGAAGTAAAATAATGAGAATTTTCTCTTGATATTTGAAGAGGTTTCTGTTCAGCCATTTTTTATTAAGGTTAAAATATTATTTGCACATTTTCCAGTCAATCTGTTATCCAAGAACCCTTCACATCTTTTTCATACAAATATATTTTTTCTCAAACCTTTTTTTTGAAAACCTAAATATATTATGAAGGATTAAACTGTGGGGCAATTTTTGGTAAAAGGCCTAAATCCAAAATTGAAACAGTTCTCAAGTTTTCTCCGATAAAATTTTGAATTATTGCTTGATTTTAATTAAATTGTAACAAAATCAAATATTTAAACCCAAATATCTTTAGAACCCATTGTTGTAAACCTTTGATATTTCAAACTCTGATTATTTGATTTAACAGAATTCATAGTTTGAAATATCTAAGGTCTACAACATTTGGTTCCAAAGATATTGTGATTGAAAATCAGGGTTTGTTGCAAAGACTCAATTCCATTAATATATTTTATAAAAATCCAACCACCTTTTGTTATTATTTAGGACTATATGTTTTTAACTCTTATTTTTAATTATTTCTGTTTGTTTTTGGTTTATATTTCAGAAAAAACTGCACTTCGTTTAAAAACTTTAGAATTTTAAATCTCAAACATTAAAAAGAAACAATGCACTTTATAAATAGCTATTCCCAATCCTTTGAAATTTTTTATTTAGATTATACAGTGTGTCCCACGAAACATGACCGTTAAGAGAGTTGACTTGAAAGTCGTCTTTGATCTTTGAAATAAATTACGGCATTCACTCCTAGCATTGAATTAATAATTACAAAACACCATAGTCCTGACATTTTCAAAATGTGGTCTGCCTCTTTTGTGCTTTCAAAATTACTGGAGATATGAAGACTTTCATTCAGATTTCGACAGTTTTGGTTTTTTAAAGAAAATTGAAATCTGAACGAAATTCTTAGTGTTTTGGGAATCAATACCGCAAATTATTTCAAACATCAACGACGACCTTAAGGTCATGTAGTGTTTGGTGGGACCCCCTGAAATTAAGAACTATAGCCCCCCTCCCAATCCTAAAGTATGATACATATAGAGCTGAACTACGTCGGTCTGTCCACCGGCATTCAACAGGTGCTCCTACAGATCATAGACAGCAGATCATACGGATGCTTTGTAAGTTTTCAAATAGTATTTATAACACCTTTTCCTATTTTTACATGCTCTAAAGTTGCACTTTCCCGATTATCCGAGCCCCAGCACTCGGCCTCTTAGCGTACAGTCCAGAACATGTTTATATCTAACCAAAATATTCCTTGTCCAGTCTCACTCAGCTGATCTTTGGGAACATCACCTTTGGGAAAATGTACATTTGGGAATTAATTACTTGGTAACATAGGAAAGCGGAATAATCGTTTTTTATTGTAAACTTCGCTTTGGATTTATAATTTTAATTTTCACTTTGGACTTTTTTTTAGAGATAGATTATCAGTTACTTACAAATCACAAAATCTTTTATGGTATTCCTAAAGCCTAGACGATTATGAAAATCATTCCGGTTTTTTTGCTGGGTACCTAAAACCAAAAAAAACATTGCTGAAAGTTGTAAACACACTGTAAAAAATTCAAAGATTGTGTAGACAAAAAAAACATTGCGAAAGTATTAAAAACTGCAGAACCTCTGAAAACGTAATGGCTAAATAAAAAAATATTATTTAAATATAATTTATCTGGCTGAAAAATATTATTTTTAATGCGATGTTTTCGTTTAGGTTGATTATTCTTTTTTAATATAATAGATATTTTGTTTAGTTTCGGTCGTTGTTATTTTCTTCTTCTCCTGGGCTCCATTTCATGTTCAGGTTGGATTAAAGAAAAATATATTATGTTAGATTCAAATCTGAGATTTTTTCAAAAATAATTCTTCTTAATATATTTGTAAAGGTATTCTTTGTATGAACAATAAATCTTTGTTAGAAATATCGATAATGACTGGAAGGATTAAAAATAACAAAACATTTAGTTAGAATTTGAAAATATTTTACAAACATTTAGTTAGAATTTGAACGCATTTCACAACCTTTTAGAAAATATTTGGACACAAATAAATGACAGTAAGACTTTTTAAAATGATTAAAAATTATCTGAAATTATATTAAATATCGAATTCAAAACTTTTATGTTGTAAATCTCGGGATCAAGCCTTGATCTCCATCTTATTCAGTGATATCAGTAAGGAAGGGATCAAGCCTTGATCTCCATCAATCTCGCATTTAAAAGTACCCATGATGGATATCAAGATCAAGCTTTCAAGATTAAGTTAAATTCTACACAAAAGTTCTCAGCTTTTTCAGAAAAAAAGTATAGAATAACCAAAAGCAATCCGAAGTAATGAACATTTTGATAGAATTTTAGATAATTTTAAGGTCAAAAGGTGTTACGCGCATGCGGCGTAGAACAGGCTTGTAATTCAACGCAGAATGCACGTGGTATTTCTACATCGAAAGAAAAAAACAAGCAGTACAGTGTCAGTTCAGAAAAATAGATTTTGCGCATTTTCTTTTTCAAAAAAAATATCATTGCACAATCACTTATTGCAACTCTTTAACTTACCTAATGCTAAAGTTTTCTAAAAATAATTTGAGGTTAAATGATAGAGTTTCGTCTCGCCGAATTCCAGAAAATAGTTAGCACCAATTGGACTAGGGACGAATCGAATTTTTAAAGTCCTTAAGGAATTTCCGGAAACTTTAGCCACTGAACCAGACATAAATTATTAATCTTATTTTATTGACAACTTCAAAACTTCAATACTTCAACACTTTAACACTTCAAAACTTCAATACCTCAACACTTGAAAACTTCTAACTGGAAAACTTCAAAACTGGAAAACTTCAAAATTTCAAAACTTCAAAACTCCTAAAAAGCTTTGGCTAACTATGAAAAGATTATTTCCATAGATTAAGAACAACACAGATAGAACACTAGATGTCGTCTTTTCAAGATTTAGAGGTTTTTCGCTCCCAATAACCCTAAGTAGAAGTCAAAAGAAGTTATGCAGCTTTACTGCTTGCAATAAACATAATGCATTGTATATATTATTAGTGAATACAATATTAGAAAATATTATTATTTTGGGACAAATACATTCCATGATATAGAAATAGAATAATGTCTATTTAGCTCCGATCTCATTTATTTATTCAGGATTACCCATCCGTTCACCCTTCTTTCTCATGTCGCTTTTCCTCTATTCTTTTTTAGCCTTCTTATATGTTATTCTTTTTATTATAATTACCTTCAAATCATCATTTATCAAGTTTCTAATCTTAATTAGAAGGAAAGATTAGTTTCATAGTTATTTGATCAAGTTTGTTCTCCTGAATGTGCACTGTGCCCAGTGCAGAATGTGTAAAAGAGAATATTATTTTGGTGCAGTAATAAAATTACACAGGATGGAAGGGGGGGGGGAGCGTGGGACAAAATCCATTTTCCAAAATTAATGGATTGCAAAGTGCTATATAAATTGGAAATGTATAGAAATAAAATACCTGGTTTTATTCTTTAAGTTTAAATTATCGACCTTAAAGGGACTGTAAGCGTAATTTCAAGTGACCCTCCATGCAAAGATGACAATGCCTGATTTATAGTACCCTTGAATGCTTTGTCTGATCAAGTATAAATTAGATATCAATGTTTTTGTTACTTTAAACGGTTTATTTTCAATTGCGGTTTCTCTGCAAAAGCGACTTACGCATTTCTTGCTTATAAAAATCAATTAAGAAACTCACAAAAATTAACACTTTGCTAGTAAAAAAAACGACGGTATCTTTCATATTTTTGATAAGCTTAAGGTTTCAAGGGTAAATCGAACATTGCCATCTTCGCATAGAGGGTCAATTAAAATTACACTTTCAAATAATCTCAAAAAAGATCCGAAACCAGTGTTTTAATGTGATCTCAAGGTCTCAAGGTAGTTATATTATACTTTTAGCGATCAAATATCCGTTAATTTCCGTTTGCACGTAAAAATATCTATAATCTGAAAATATATTTTTATGTTCTTATAATACAAACCTTACAATGGAAAATATAATAATGCATTTTCCAGAATTCGGTGGTGAGATAATACGTCACTTACACACTGTGCACAACAATATAATGTGATAAAACCAATCTTGTCTCTTCTTATCCTCTACACTGAACCCCCTGCTGTACAATGTTATATTAAGGATGTCTGTACTTCTTATCCTCTACACTGAACCCCCTGCTGTACAATGTTATATTAAGGATGTCTGTACTTCTTATCCTCTACACTGAACCCCCTGCTGTACAACCTAATGAGCGCAAAGTACAGAGAAGCTTTTAAGAACACGTTCTGTGGTGGGAACAAAGAAGTTGACCGCACCAAGATACCAGCCTGGGTTACACAGACATCAACAACTACTCTCCTCAATACCGGGGTAATTTTCTTCTATTTGTTTTTACTACCCTCCCTCCCCCAATACCCCCCTTCATCATGTTTAAACTGCGCTGTCAAGGAGTAACCCTTTGTTTTCTGAATATAGGGGAATATGGGAAGTTTTCCTAACCTTGCCCGATAAAGTTTTAAAGAATACCAAACTAATGTTTGTCGTTTTTAAAAACACATTTCTCACAGGTTTTCTTATCCTTGTATCTGTGAAACATGATATCGCAGATTTCTGCAGATTTCTGCTATAGTTAAAATTGTCCAAATTAGAATTTTCAAAAGTTGACACCATCAGGTTGCTAAGATAAAGGGATTAGAAAATCAGAGTTTGTGGCAAGTAATCAGTTTCTTTCTTCGAGTAGGCAACCTAGAAATTTCTTTCTTTGAGTTGGCAACCTAGAAATTTCTTTTTTCGGGCAGGCAACCTAGAAATTTCTTTCTTCGGGTAGGCAACCTAGAAATTTCTTTGTTCGAGTAGGCAAATTAGAAATTTCTTTCTGTGAGTGGGCAACCTAGAAATTTCTTTCTTCGGGTAGGCAAACTAGAAATTTCTTTCTTTGGGTAGGCAAAATAGAAATTTCTTTCTTCGGGAAGGCAAACTAGAAATTTCTTTTTTCGGGTAGGCGAATTAGAAATTTCTTTCTTCGAGTAGGCAAACTAGAAATTTATTTCTTCGGGTAGGCAGCCTAGAAATTTCTGTTTTCGGGTAGGCGAATTAGAAATTTCTTTGTTCGAGTAGGCAAACTAGAAATTTCTGTTTTCGGGTAGGCGAATTAGAAATTTCTATCTTCGAGTAGGCAAGCTAGAAATTTCTTTCTTCGGGTAGGCGAACTAGAAATTTTAGAAAGTAACTATTAAAAGAATATTTCAAACAAATTAAGTTGAAAACCTAATTGCATCATAAGATAATATATTTTTTGATAATCAGTCAGATATTTTCTCAGGTTTATAAGATATATAAGATAGATCAGATATGATAGAATACTTAGAATATATGCCAAAAGTACCCAATTCATGTATATATAGATATCTAATAAAACTTGTCCCTTCGGAATTATCAATGTTAAAGGGACTGTAAGCGTAATTTCAACTGACCCTCCATTTAAAGAGAGAAATGACCGATTCACATTAGTACCATCGACATCTTTATCAGATAAAGCTTGGAGGGTACTTTTGTGAATTAGGAATTGTCATCTTTGTATGAAGAGTCACTTGAAATTACCCTTACAGTCCCTTTAGTATTGAGAGAAATTATTAGAATTATTATTTTAATTATAAATATTATTTTTAATTGAAATCGGCCCAAGTGATTTATTCTCTTTCTGAGATAGGATGGTATCAATGATGCAGTACCTGGATATTAAGATTCATGATTCTCCACTTGTAGTGATAGGATGGATATATGATTCTCCATCTGCAGTACTTGGATATTCAGATTCATGATTCTCCACTTGTAGTGATAGGATAGATCAATGATTCTCCATCTGCAGTACTTGGATATTAAGATTCATGATTCTCCACTTGTAGTGATAGGATGGATATATGATTCTCCATCTGCAGTACTTGGATATTCAGATTCATGATTCTCCACTTGTAGTGATAGGATGGATATATGATTCTCCACTTCTAGTGATAGGATGGATATATGATTCTCCACTTGTAGTGATAGGATGGATATATGATTCTCATCTTGTAGTGANAAGGATCCTGGGGTTGAAGGAACCTGAGGTTGAAAGATCCTGAGGTTGAAGGAACCTGAGGTTGAAGGATCCTAAGGTTGAAGGATCCTGAGGTTGAAGGAACCTGAGGTTGAAGGATCCTGTGGTTGAAGGATCCTGGGTTTGAAGGAACCTGAGGTTGAAGGATCCTAAGGTTGAAGGATCCTGGGATTGAAGTATCCCTAGGTTGAAAGTTCCTGAGGTTGAAGGATCCTAAGGTTGAAGGATCCTGAGGTTGAAGGAACCTGAGGTTGAAGGATCCTGTGATTGAAGGAACCTGAGGTTGAAGTATCCTGGGGTTGAAGGATCCTGAGGTTCAAGGATCCTAGAAAGTTGAAGGATCCTGGTATTGAAGGATCCCTAGGTTGAAAGTTCCTGAGGTTGAAGGATCCTAAGGTTGAAGGATTCTGAGGTTGAAGGATCCTGATTAAACCTACTGCAGTATATGTAAAACGTTTCCACCTAAAATTTCCATTTCTACAAATATTAAAGAAAACACCGAACCATATGAAACAAATATTAATGCTTTTGTTGAACAGTCCGAACACTGCAGTTTGTTACAGGGTGTACCAAAAAACATGGGAATTCAGTGAGGAATTCGATATCGTTTTTGTTATAAATTAATATTGTAATACCTAATTTCATAAGCCATGATATTATATGTCTGCTATAGTTTATTTTATGAAAAGGGTAAAAGGCTGTAAAGATGTGTCTATAATGTCTCCGCAAGATGAACAGTGAAGACGGACAAGTTTACTCTGTTTGTATACTGTAATTTTCTTGTTTTACTAAGTAAAACCGTATGCAGTCAAAACATAAAAAATAAAATGTAAACATAGCAGACGAAACTCTTACAGATTAAAGTAGGTATCACTATACTAAATCAAAGAATTATTTAAAAAGACGAAATCGAATTCGTCACTGAATTCCCATGTTTATTGGGACACCCTGCAGAATGCTAAAATAAAACTATTAAACGATTATTACTGCTGTACAGGGACATTACAAAGCGATAAAGGTTTTTAATAATATAACAATAAAGTTTTAGAGATTATAGGTTTAGTTCTATTTCTGGACCTTGATGTTTAAACACAATATTCCAATAGTAGTGCAGCTAGGGATAGTTTTATAGTATTTGTCTGTATAGGAGCTCTAAAAGAGTCTGAGATGATCAACACTGAATAAAATTATATTTTCTTTTAGTTTGATTCTAATACATTAAATAATTTGTTTTCTCCTACAAATGAAATTAATCAAAACGATTGTGAGCACGCAACTCATTTGTAAAAAGCCATAGTTTGTATTAGACGTAGGGCGGTTAATACAGCCACCGCACTTTCTATCCCAAGCGAGTCTGTTGGAAGGCAAATACAACCAAAGTGCATCTGTAGTTTGGCTGAGATTCAAGCCTGACCAATTTAAAAACAATTTTACAAGTTGTGAAAAATCGTTCTGGTGGATATTTATGGTCAGAGTAAACATTTTGCATAATGTAATAAAAATAAACTTATCGAGCAAACAATTCTTAAATTGTTAAACCTCCTTCAAGTAAAAAAACGTTTTTAAAGATGGACCTTAAAACTTTGCTTATCGGTACAGCACAATTGGATGAACCAATAAACAGTGCACAGCAGGGTAGCCAGGCCAATCTAAAAACTGGTTTAGCACATGAAACCGATTTAGAAAACGACAGAAAACCTGGCATATATAGAAACCAGTTAAGTTTCTTGCAGGCTAGACAGGGCAATCTAGGAACTGGTTTAGTGCACGCCAGACTAATCAGGCCAATCTAGAAACCAGTTCAGTTCACACTAGGGTAACCAAGCCAATCTAGAAACTGTTTTATACTGCACGCCAGGAAAGCCAGGTCAATCTAGAAACTGTTTCAGTGCACGACAGGATAGCCAGGCCAATCTAGAAACTGTTTTAGTGCACACCAGGATAGCCAGGTCAATCTACTAGAAACTGTTTTACTGCACGCCAGGATAGCCAGGTCAATCTAGAAACTGTTTCAGTGCACGACAGGATAGCCAGGTCACTCTAGAAACTGTATTAGTGCACGCCAGGATAGCCAGGTCAATCTAGAAACTGGATTCAGTGCACGACAGGATAGCCAGGTCAATCTAGAAACTGGATTTAGTGCACGACAGGATAGCCAGGTCAATCTAGAAACTGGTTTAGTGCACACAAGGATATCCAGGTCAATCTAGAAAAAGGATTCAGTGCACTACAGGATAGCCAGGTCAATCTAGAAACTGGATTTAGTGCCTGGCAGGCTAACAGGTCAATCTAGAAACTGGTTTAGTGCACACAAGGATATCCAGGTCAATCATGAAACTGGTTCAATGCAAACCAGGACCAAACCTCTGTAGAGTAAAAAAATGAGATGTTAGTTCCACATTTTTTGAAAAAAAATTTCGGCCTGAGATGAACGACAGTTCTTGAGATTTTTTTCTGTCAGGAAGATTAAAAACAAACTGGTTCAGTGTACACCAGGATATCCAGTTCAATCATGAAACTGGTTCAGTGCACGCCAGGCTAGAGCTGGTTCAGCCAATGGCAACCCAGTCCAATTTAGAAAATAGTTCTGTCCATTGCAAGCCATTCCAATCTAGAAACGAGTTCAGTGCACATCAGGCTAGCCAGGCCAATCTTTAAATTCAGGTCACTACTGTAGGAGTACTTGACTCAGGCAATTACAATAAACTAGGTGTAATGGAATCTAATTTCAATGTGCAAAGAAAGAAAATTGGAATTCTTTAATCCCGATATTCCCTCTTTTACACTAGAGAATATACAGACCCTGTAAAAGGGACTATTTACTTATTTGATCACGTTGGTATCGTACTAAATATCCGCATGAAGGTTTAAGAATTAATTGAGTTGATTAGCAACAATTTTTTACTAAATACCACCTTTTATGTGTATAGTAACCGAAATAAAAGAATAAATGTCTTTATCTAAAATCTGTCTATAATTTATCTATCTATCAATCTATTTATTAATTTATCTATTTATCTATCTATCTATCTATCAATCTATTTATTAATTTATTTATCTATCTATCTATCTATCTATCTATCTAATTATTTATCTTTCTATCTTACTAGGTATTTCTCTATTCATTTATGTCTCTATCTATTTATCATTTGTTTATTATATTTATATATCTTTCTATCTAATTTAGTCCCGACGAGCTAGTCACGATATATTGGGCGGATCCAGGTAAGACTTTAATTTGATAAAATTAACTCAAATATTTGTTAACATTATGCAATTGTTTTTTTATGACAAAGTCAAATTAGTAAAATGGAAAATTTCCTTTTAAAACTTGAAAAGGTAGTTTTAATGTAACTGAACCACGAATGTAAAACTTTACGAGTAAAATAATATATTAGTAAAAAGTTTTCAAAATCGGAGGGAAGGGGGGGGGGGCCGGGGAACTATAAATATTTCTTAAAAACTTTACCCTTGAATTAAAGGAAAACTGTAAATGTGCAAATTCTCTTTAAAAACATTTGTGCAAAACTCTACGCAAAAATTGTGCAATCTGCTTCCTTTTGTTTAAGTCTGACAAAGGTAAAAATAAAGCATTCAGGTATAAAAGCCCCGCTTTAAACATAAAGTAAGGGGCATGTCTTAGTTAAAAATGTCAAATACAGCCTCAGATAATTATTTTATGTTTTCCAAAAAACGTCAGGGGGGGGGGGGGTTCCAGCCATAGAGAATAGAATATATATTAGAGGGAATTTAAAAAATCTCTCGGTATGAATTTTTTCAGTCCCTTTCAGCCTGAAAGGGAGTTCAAAGTGTACAAATCATGTAAATGTTCACAAATTATATGCAGTAGAGTACATTAATACAGTATGTTCCCTAGACTATTCATTTCAATTTCGAATTTTTTAAACTGTTAAATAAACTTTATAATGTATTAGGTGAATAAAAAACATCATTTGATTTATAGTTATAACGGAAAATCATCGTTTGTAAAGTGGAAGGCATAGATTCTATGTGAAATGATCATTGGTCAATTATGAAACCAGCCTATTTCATAATTTGGTTTTCTTTCAACAATAATTTTAGATTTTCTATAAAATGATATTTCAGGGCCCAAAAGGTTATATAGCATAAATATGTGAAGTACACCTGCAGTATGGAAACAGTACAACAAAATGGCCGTTTTACACTTTTTTCTAGTAAATTCCCCTCTATATACATTCTATTCTCTATGGTTCCAGCCCCCCCCCCCCTAGGCGGAAAAGGGTTAAAAAGTTATAGTAATAAAATTATAAAATAAAAAATTTCCCACCCTGTAGTTTCGTACACTCTTCAATTTTACATTTTACGTTGATTTATGATTTATACAAGCTTAGTTTTTTTCCTAGTTTATGCAGACTAGACTAATAGACCATGAATAATTATGAAGGAATAATAAATATAATTTATCATCTTTAATTTAAGGTTTAATTATGGATCTAATCTATAATAACCCAAACCCCTTTGAGAAAAAGGATTCCAAATATTTTATTTTTATTTTTATTCAACTATTACAAAGCACTAGAATTGAGAACTGTAAATAAATGGGTGTACACTATACACAGTGTACAGTGTACATTTTAAACATAATAATGATGATAAACCAGAAAAAAGGTTAAAGGAAAAAGATAAATCCGGATTAAATCTGTTAAAACCAGATTTAACCAGATTACCTTAACCAACATAAAACCAGCTAACCCCAGATAAAACAAGATAAACCTAGAACAAACCAGATAAAACCAGGATAAACCCGATGAAACCAGATTAAACCAGATGTAATCCGATTACACAACATAAAATAAAAGAAACCCAAAAAAACAAGATTTATCAGATTAAACCAGACCTAAATTAAACCATTTTAATCCAGATTATAACCAGATTAAAAAAGCATTTTAACCAGTATATTACAAATAAAGCAGATAAAACCAGAATAGAAAGATTAATATATAATGATAATAGTGATAATAATAATATTAATAATAATAATAATAATAATAATAATAATAATAATAATAATAATAATAATAACAATAATAATAATTATAATAGTAATATTAGAAAATAAATAGATAGTGTTAGGCCTAATTATGTTACATGGGCGAAACAGGACAATGGGGCCCATTATCCTTTATTTGTCTAAACCCAGTTTCTTGTGCAGGCAGGGGGAAAGAAGTGGTTCCATGGATCTTGAACTTTCCAGGTATTAAAGTGATAAACAGAAAACTCTGAAATAGGAAGACGACTTTATAGCAATACTTAAGTCTTATTGATGATGTTACAAAGAAATTAGTTTTACTAGATTCTTTTTAAACCACTAAGTAAAATGGGTCTGTTTACACTGCACAACTACTGTGTTCCATGCATGTTGGACTTTTTAAAGTCATAACTTGAGTCTAAAAGTCGTCAGAGTTTTCTGGTTCTCACTGTATTATTCATGTTTTTTACCATTTTTAAAAGCTCGAACATTTTAAGCTTTTTGTTGTTGTTAACACCCGAAGTTTGCGCTAACGAGGTTGAGAGTATCTCTGAATATATTAATAATCTACAAAGTTTAATACAACTTTTGTAAAACTTTATGATTGATAACTTAACAATTTTTGAAAGGAGTTAAGTTGTCATTAAACTCAATGCTGGTAAAATTTTATAGCAATATTTCTTTTGATTTTCTAAATAAAAAAACACCTTTAAATCTTTAAACACTTATTTTCAGAATCTCAAGAGATAGATTCTCTCGAAAGATGAGTTATGATGCAAGATTTGAAACTGTTATCGAGGAAAAAGAAGATGCTTGCTAATCTAACTGAACACACCAAAACTATGAAAACATTTAATTTTTTATTTTATACCTTTAGAACCTGTTAAATACTAGGTTGAAGGGACTGTAAGAGTTACTTTAAGTGATCCTCTCTGCGAAAAGTAGAATAAGGTTTCCATTTTTCTATTTTCACTTTTTTGTCGGCATACGCGTTTTTAACGAAAAAGTATAAAATGACAAAATCGTAAGTTTAAAGATTGTAGAATTATGGACCACCATGTGACTGATTTTAAATAGAAGAAACTGAATCGCCCTGGTTAGTTCAGGGTTAATTTAAAGGGTACTGGTGTGAATCGTACACACCATTCTACAAATGGACGGTCAATTGCAATTACGCCTACACTCCCTTTAATAAAAATAAAAAAGGTTTAGACTGCTTAGAACAAAGTTTTATCTTATTTTTGAAAAATATGAGGTGTAATGTAGAAAATAATTAAAAGCTATAGAAACAATATTTTTAAATACTTGAAATTTAGTTAAATAAACTCTACTAATTTTGCTGATAAGACTGACAAACCAAAAAAATATTTAAAATCAATTTTTTTTAAAATCTAAAAACACTTTTTGCCTCGATCATATCAAAACTTAACCAAAGAATCTATATTGCAAGAACAAAAACGTTGTACAAATCTTATGTGACATATAAATCGTTTTCAAACAGTGTATGTATCCCTCAAACTGAATGTTAATTGTTATTCCTAGAAAGTAATCTGTTATATGTTAGTCGAAAATTAAATAACTGTTGAAATTAACCCTTTAAAATTAGACCAGGAAAACGTAATCATAATTCATAACTAAAATAAAAACCATTTTCTCTTAAAAAACATGTATAAATATTTAAAGAAGAAAATGAGAGTAAATCCATAATAAAGAAATAATCTTATTTATATTTCTAACAACTGCAAATAATTGAATATGATAATTTATTATACAGTATATGTCTTAAATGTATTGTATGTATAAGTTTTATTATAATTGATTTATGTCTAGACCAAACATACAGTAGTAAACTCTATACCTAGCTATTTATCATTCAAAAATATCTTTTCTTTCTTTCTTTATTCAAATATTTTTTCTATTTTTTTTCGAAAACGATTTGGTCGATCTTTAGTGGGAACCAAACAATTGTGGAATAAGGTTGACGACTGTAAGAATCAAGTCCATTGAGCATGAAATACAGGTATTGTGCAAGTGCGTTGAACCAATTTCACTTAATTAGTTGATGTTAAGCTATTGGTAAAACTAAGTATAGCTTGATAACAAGACCAAATACACTTAAGATTACTCCTATTTCAAAGTTTTTGGGTCACATGTATCAAGATTTTAGACCAAGTAATATTATTCATTTTATCCCCTTGGGAAAAAGCCTAAAACTGTTTTTTTTTCATTAATCAAAGAAAACTTCATGCAAAAATATGTCTCTAAATAACGAACAATTTAAAAAAAAGTTTGCATTGTTTTATATAAAAATTTACGACTCAAAGAGTTTTTTTCGTGTGGAGTATACTTAATCTGCAATGCTTGATCTCGATATCAAACATGGTCACTTTTAGGATATAGGATTTGGAGTTTGGCCACGTAGCACGGGATATCGAAGAGAAATTGATCCCGATAAACACAACAAATCCAACTTAGATTTAATTCAAAATTTACATTATTTATTCAGCTTTTCATATCTTGAAGTAATTATTAAACAATTAAATTTATTAATTCTTCCTCTGTAAATCAATGCTTGAACCCTTTATTAAATCACTATTGTTTCAAAGGCAAAATTAGCTTTGAAACTGAGGGGAATTGCGCTTTATACTTCATATAGATGTAAATTATTGTTAATTTGTTCAAATATATAATATATATATGTGTTTTGTTGTGCATAATCTTAAAGGAATATATTATAGTCTTCTCATAGAAATATATCATATAGAAATATATATAAAGTAGATATAAAAACCATCATTTATTTCTAATATACACTGTGAAAAATTCTTACTTTCTAATTATATCACTAATTTTGTGACATTTTACTTTTAGTCATATTGATGTCATTTATTAACTATTGTACTATATACGTTACGTACTGTAATTAAAAAAAAAAAATATATAATGATTGTTTTATTGTAGATGTTAATGTAAAAAATATATATTCTAAAGAAACCTCTCGTAAAAGTTCCTCCGGTCTCTATCTAATATTGTTTTAGCGAACTCATTTCAAAGAATTTGCATAAATCTACTTAAAAATAATATTATTTTGGTGGATAAGAATTAAATTCTTTTTTATTATTGGGTTAAGATGAACCAAACTATTCATGGTGGCAGATAGTTGTATGATAAAAGGCGGTCGATTCGCGCCCTAACAAAAGTGCGCGGATTTTATCAAAAAAAAAGTCGTGGATTTTCAAAAGTTTAGCTCTAAATAATCCTGAAATATCAAGTATTACTAATAAACTTTCTTTTAAATCTACACTTAAAAATCATTTACTGTCAAAGAGTGAAAATTTTATTTGCAACAAACTATTTTGCTGGTCCTGCTCTAGTTGATCGTCATTTTTAACTGTATACTCGTAATTTTTTCTCTATGTCAATGGATTTTAAGTCAAGCAACTTGCGTTTTTTAAATCCTTCTTATAAAAATCAGTGTTCTGGCATTGCTTTTTTTTGGAAAAGGTATTGTTAATGGGTGGACCTTCAACTTTTGCTAATTTTTTTTGCAGCGCAAAATAATTAGGAATGCAATAGTTCCTGGCGCCTCTGTTTCTGTTTTCTGCCTACTGTCTCAAATCAAGAACCAAATTTATATCACGTTAATTGAGCAAATCAACCCTGTTCCTCCGTCTTCTCCAAACCCAGTCCCACGACGTATCACATCAGTTCAGTTCTAATTAACATCACGGTAAACTGCCAGGAGACCAACCTGAAAACAGCCCTACTATGGCTGCTCTCCTTCCGTTGAGAATCAATAGAAATCATATGTTTAGTTTTGTTGCTCAATCTGTCTTATTTTCAGCGGAAAAATAAATTATTAGATTAGAGTAGATTATATTAGATAAATAAAATCGAATTTTGTTGAAGGCAAATTTTTGAAATTTTGATCGTCTATAATAACCTTCCCTGCGGCCCTTTTAGTTTAGCCATTTTAACGTTTATTGGATACAAACAGACAGGCAAAGTATATATATATTATGTATAGATAGCGCTAATGTGAATTGTACAGCGGAAGATTTTAATTTAAAGGTTCACTTATTTGGGTATTTTCAGGGTAAACTAAATACCTTAGCTGATCGTTGGTATTTGTCTTTCTTTTCAAAGATAACTGTGGCCGGAGAAAAAACGATTTATTCCTTTATAATGAGGTTTCAGGAATGGAGACTTTGCCACAAACTCAAATTTTCTAATCCTTATATCCTTGCAACCTGATGGTGTAAACCTTTGATATTTAAAACTTAGATTATCTTATCTAACCGAATTCATAGTTTGAAATATTTAAGGTCTACGACATTGGGTTTTAAAATTTTGGGATTAGAAAATCAGAGTTAGTGACAAAGACTCAATTCCTTTGACATAATGTAAGAAAAGTAAATGTTTTTAAAATTATTTATTCTAAAACTACAGAAGAGAAAAGATTTTTCTTTGTTGAGAAGAAAGAAGGGCGTTGAGGGATTAAAAAAATAGGTTTGTTTTATTTTCTTTACTAAAGTGTTCAATCAAAATGTGTAGCTTAAAATAACTAATGTCTACGACATCAAATTGGAAAGATATAGGAATTAGAAAACAGAGTTTGTGGCGAAAACTCCACACAAATCTGCTTGCTGAAACAATTAAACAATTAAACAATGGTATTGTTTAATTGTTTAAAATCTGAACTAAATTCTTTATTAATAACTCTGGTAGATTTGAAAATAAAAAAGTAAATGGTCAAGACTAAGGTCCAAGAATACAGGATAATTTAGCATAAAAAAACTGCATAAACGGGTCTAAAATGATGTCAACGTTGCTGTAACTACAGTTAAACCCTAAATAATCCATACATCGAAAGAATTCATCAAATGCCGTACTCTTCACTTTCTGATAATGGAATGTTGTAGATATTTAGTTTTTTACTTTTTACTTTTACTTTTTATTTTAATGATTATATGGAGTTCTTTAAAACTATTCCTGCATATTTATTTATTTTCGCAAATACTGAGATTTACGTAAAATAGTATAAAACCCATTGAAAAATTGTCAAGACGACATTTGATAAAAGTCTTTCGATGTATGGCTCATTTAGGGTTTAACTGTATAGAAAAGCTCGTGTTTTAACAGTTTTTAACAACTTTAAAAACAAGATCGTTTTTTGGGGCCTTATATAATATGTTGTAGCTTAATAATTTTGCAGGATTTAAAACAAAAACCATACTTTAAAACATAAAATATTGAACAAATATATTTAAATCTCCATGTTTGTTTGAAACAAAGTAAAAACATTTCCCATCTTTATATTTGAAGAGTTTGGTTAATAGACTTTTTGCTTCCACTGCAGTCTTATGTTTTATGAATACTTTATTTATATAAATATAAAGTATAAACCATAATCATATTCTTCTGAGAATAAAGTTCTTTTATTCAATCTTAATCCTAAATCTCTTCTAAACCGCCTAATCCTAGAACAAAACCCTTTAATCCTATATTGTAACTCGAACAAAAGAATTGTTTACGTAAATCTAATGTTTTGTATTCTGAGATGGCCTTAATGTTGCTGGGTTGTCAACATTTATTAAACAGGGTGTTCCGCATAGAATTAGACACCAGAGACGACTCTGCACAGAGTTAATTCAGCTTTATCTAATTACACTTGTAGTCGCGGCAGCGTACGGCTCCATAGCTTGTTCTAACCGCGGCGCTCGGCCTCTAGCCTGTCCAAGCCGCAGCGCTTGGCCCCCGTAGCCTGTCGTAGCCGCAGCGCTCGGTCCGAAAAGTGTCTAAGCCTAACCTAACTCTAATATATATATTAATCTATTTCTTTCTTGTAATTCAACGCGGCAAGCGTGCGTAACTCCTTTAGTCAACTGTCTTCCAAATAATCAATTAGAAAGGTTTTAAGTGTGCGTCGTTGTGAAAATAACATGCCACCTTATATATGGAGCTAACATAAGCAACAATACATATAAAACACTAGATGT